TATAGGTTCTGTCATACCACTGTTCTCTTGAAAACCAATATAAAACTGCATATATGAACAGTAGTAATAGTAGTAGTAGTGTGAGTAGTAGTAGTAGTGTGGTGTGAGCTACTTATAAGTAGTATATGACGTGAGTGTCAACGTAATGTCTGGCAGCGGGAGATGGGGGAAGATCAAGAAAGGAAGAGTTAGAAAACAATGGAATTTGTATGAAACGCATGAATAGTGACAATGGATTGATGTTTTGCAACAGGAACAGTCCAGTTCGATATGATGAACTGATATTTTGCAAATGAACAATTTACGATATGGTTTTCCAATTTTACTGAGTAACTCTGTTATTTCGCTAAATACAATTCGTTGCCCCACCTGTGTTCTCGTTCACTACAGTAGTAGTATTGGTACTAGTATTAGTAGTAGTAGTAGTAGTAGTAGTAGTAGTAGTGTGAGTAGTAGTAGTAGTAGTAGTGTGAGTAGTAGTAGTAGTAGCAGTAGTGTGGGTAGTAGTAGTAGTAGTAGTAGTAGTAGCAGTAGTAGTAATAGTATTAGTAAACGACTTACAATTCACAATATATTCAATTTGAAAATTCCTTCTATATATAATATATATTACAATATGTGATGAACTCATTAAGAAGACAATTAAAATGACTCTATCTACTTAAAAAAAACTTGAAGAGTTTTTTTTAAAATAACACAGTTAATTTCACATACCTCTTTGTTTTTTCCTAATCCCATTTAAATTTATCATGTTATCTATCTGTTTTGTTTGTTTGTCTGTCTGTTTGTTTGTTTGTTGATGTTTCATACATTGAAACAAATTGAAATGATCAATGTTCAAATGTTTCTAATAAGCAAGAAATTCACCTTAAGGGCATTTGACTATGACAAATTAGGCAGATTTCTCAAATTTATTTATTTTATTTATTTATTCTGTCCATTTGACATTTTAGTTTGTTTTATTTAGAGAAAACAGAAACAGAATAGTAATAGTAGTATGAGCAGCAAAAGCAGAAGAAGGATAAGTGAATAAGTTAAATTGAACATTGAATCATTGAATCATTGAATCATACATACTTAGAGTTCACATTCTATTGACACTTTACTTAGTTATTCATTCATTCATTCATTTAAACAAAACAAAAAAGAGCATTACAAGTGTATGCATAATTATGATCTGAATCCATTAAGAGTTTGACAGATTGACCTGTTCAGTTTTAAAAACCTTTTACTTGTTTTTTGTGTATATACTAACTACAATCGACATTAACTGGTCAACTTTTGATTATGCTGATGATGTGTTGAGTAAAGGAGACAGGATAAAATGATGAGGTTGTTGGTGTTGGTGTTGTTGTTTTAATTTGTTTAACTAAAACTGTAGAAATAAAATAATGGAGAATAAATAAAGAAAAGAATTGAGAACAAGAGTAATAACATAGTAGTAGTTGTATATAGTTGAATAAGACAATTTGAAAAAAAAGAAAACACTTGTTGTCATATTGAGAATTGTGACAATAATCATGAAGACTGTCTGTCTGTTTGTTTCTTCTTTTTTTTATTGATTTGAAAACAAGTAAAATATTAAAATTTCACAGAAAAAAAATACTATAATGACAAAATTTCAAAAAGGTAATAGACGTTTTCGTTTTGAGAACAGTTGGATAGTGTCTAGCAGTGGAACATGGAATATGTGGGACTCGTCAGCTAAGTGTTCATGCGTTCATGTTGATGCTTATAGAATAGTACTAGAACTATTATGCTCGTCAAGTGATAATGCTTGAATGCTATTACGAGTTCACCTTTGTCGGTGAACGAGAAAGCGAAGACAAATGATGATCCAGTGACACAATAAACTACTCTAATCCGAGCGTCCCAAGGCCCCACTAAGTAGAAGAAGAAGAAGTCTTGATATGGCGTAGAAAGTGTATTCTGTAAGCATACAGAAAATCGAGGTTTTTATGTACATGATAGAAACGTCCTTGGGAGAGCCACAAAAATAGAGTACTACAATAATACATCAACCAATAACAGTCAAGGATTTTCCGGATGGGAAATGTAATCTCGACTGATCAGCCCATGTTCGAAAGCTTAAAATCCAAAATTAGTACCTGGGCATCTGGGCATCTAACAACGCCAACAAGAACCGATTATCTTTCAAATCAAGTCTCTGTCCTAGCTACTAATCAACTTAGCTCTGTATGTTTGTAAACTAGACAATCAACACAGGATGTGTACATAACATAAAAGAAATTGGTTTTATTTGGTTGCCGTTTTCAACATTAACAACGGGATGATTCAGACAACAACTCTCACAGATAAATTACAATATGTTCTTCGTGAACACTCTGTGTGTTCATGTGTGTGTCAAGTTCTTTAGTTCTTTTGCAAAATTTATCAATCGATTTGAAATCTGACAACTACTATGCGTTTTTTAAAATGTTTACTGATTGGAATTAGTCAGCTGAAAACCATGAATCTAGGTTACATGCCAGTCGGTACTCGTTAGTTTGATGTGTTTGAGATATGGACGAAACTCTTTGGTAAGATATTGGGCAAAAAAATCTGAGCTCAAGTCTTACAGGAAACATTTATCCTCTTAGGAATGCAGGCATGCCTTGGACGCACAAGCGACAGCTAGAACAAAACTTAAGTTCAGAGTTATCTGTAGACGACAATATGAAAATCATCAAGAAAAATTTTGTAAAAAGCTACTTTATATTCATTTGAAGAACATCACTATAACCCTAGATTCAGTTATTCTTTCAATGCAGAAAATATCGTCTACAATAGAATTTTCTTATTTTTGACTTTTTGAAATCGTAAATTGATCAGTATGTTAGGTCACCATTAGAAACCTGGAAGCAGTGGACGGCCATTTTGTCCTGGTATAGGATTCATCAGCAGTGTGCGTCTATGATTTTTGCTACCTACAGAAACCGAATCTAGGACCCCCGGGTCATACGCACGAACGCCTAACCTTCAGACCACTGAGCTGGTATCCAGCGGTGTTAATGTCTAACTTCGATCAATTTAACCTCATATACTGTCTTCGGTGAGCACTACTTCACATCTGAAGAGGGTTGAACTCCACTGGTTACGAGTTCTCACTAGAACTCAAGAATCTTTCCTCATGAACCTAGTCACCAGTAATCTAACATTTCAAAGTAACTCACCAAGCTTCACAACCCTATCATGAAAATTATTTTTGATAGTAGATTTATAAACATAATACCTATAATTATTTGTACATCTCTCAGAGATGCAAAATTTTTAAATCTATTCAAGTTGCAATCTAGTGAGACGATTACTCACTATCACTGGCAATAGAGTTTTATCATTTCCAACATGTCTGAACTGCACTAGCCAAAACTTTTCACTTCCAATTTCAAATGACACTGACTAGAAAACATTGATGTCTCTCTCTGTGATCAAATCAGGTTGCTCACAGAATCTGACAACACAGAAAACCATCTACTTCAGCTGCGAATCATCTTCATCACTTATAATCTGATCCAATTATAAGCTGTCTATGACTAGGTCAGTTCAATAGTGAAAATTAATTTCAAATTCAGATATTTGGCTATTTTTTTAAATTATAGAACCTGATGAGAAATAACTGAAAAGAATATTCTCTGCTTTGAGATGGTGAAGGAAATTTTTAGTTCAGGTGAATGATTGTAGTGACGTTTCATTCTCTGAGCTGAATGTTGTTTTGGTTGTGAAGCTTTCATCGTTCCTTTTCTAAACTACAACATCATCATCATCATCATCACAAACTTCAGGTAGAAGTCTATGTGAAGTTTGAGCTGATTATGTTGTAGTTCAGAAGAAGAACAATGAAAACTTCACAACCAAAACAACATTCAGCCCAGAGAACGAAACTCCACGACAATATGCTTTATTTACACGACTTTGTTTAACTAGCTTTATAGTTTAAAAAAGACAGTCGCAATCTATACGCTTTAATATGTAGAAAAGAGACTGATTGGAATTTTTTCCCTAAATTCAAATGAAACTTAATGTACACTAATTGGCTATTGATCATAGTACACGAATGGGAATATTCTGACTAAATTATTTTAAAAACATGCAATTTTTTTCTGATTAGGGTCATTTATGAGATATTAGATGCTTAAATTAGGGAATGCATCAAGGAACATGGATTGCTACACAGAATGTCATACATTATTAACACTACTGTACGACTGACCTTTTGAGATGATTCAACACACACTGATTACAATCAAAGCTGAGACTAGTAGGCAGTTCACTGCCTTAAGCTAATAATATTTGGCATAGTTGATAACATATATGTCACTAGTTACAACCTTCAGTAGTCTTTCACATACACATCATACACTCTACATACTTACTTTCTGACACTTGTTACCCCTAGTGGAGTTTTGACAGTCGACTGCTATTCTCCAATCTACTCTGTCTTGGTCCTTCCTCTCTAGTTCTATCCATTTACCACTCAATCTATTCATATCTGTCTTCAATAGCCGACTTAATTTGTTGTTTGGACTACCTGTTCTGTCTGGGTCTTGAAGATTCCAAATGTAAAGTTGACTGTGACGAAGATGGGTGTGTGTCCTATTCATCTCCAATGGCTTTTCCAAATGTCTTCTTCTGCTGAAATCTGGTTTATTCTCTCCTCACAGTACACACTTAGCATATATATATATATATATATATATGCCTGGTGAATATTTATATACAAAAAGCCAAATTCCCCACTAGAAAGTAATCAATCACACTTTGAACCATGTACAAAGTACTAGCTTTAAATTTATTTAATATCACAAAATAACAAATAAACTTCGTTGGAGTTGTCGGTGCGCACTGCTGATGAGTCCCACCCCTTGGATGAAACAATCACCGAGTGCTTTCAGGTTTCTAATAATGATGATCTAACAATGACTGATTCATTATATCAATGTATAGTTAAAACTAACATTTAGTAAGAACTTATCATTATTATTACTATAATTATTGTCTTATTTAATCTTGACAATGGAATCATATGAACAGATGTTTATCATCTTAAAATTATTATGTTCAAATTATAAATATTGTCTAATATATATATATTGGAACAGATTGGATTAGTATTGTAGATTCTAATTTTTTTTTTGTGTAACTCATACATTGACTTCTTTTCCTAAAAACAAAAATGAGTCGATTTATAGAAAAGTTTGTTAAAAAGGCTTTTTTTTAAATCGTCTGTTTATACATTTGCAAGAAGGATTTAAATTCACTCACTTATTATTGATTGAATCTTTGCACCAGCTGAACACTAATCACCAATGTAGCAGAGCTATTGAACTGATCGATAATTATTTGAACTTGATAAATCACGAGTTGGTATCTCGCGTCATTTATGACTGGGGTACAGTTAGTTATACCATCAATCTGATGAGTTCCATTTGGAACGAAACAAACATTGGAAGATTACATCAGTGGTTGAATTTCGAAAATCTAATATATATATATATATATATATATATATATATATATGCATTACGGGGTTGTGAAGATTGTTAAGTTACACATTTTTGAAACCATGAATCGATCAATGTTAGACCACCATCAGAAACTTGGAAGCACTGGACGGCCGGTTCGTCCTGATAT